TCTTTTAATCATTTTACTGGGAGCTCTTAGAGATATTATAACAATCCATAATTCTATTAAATCAAACATTATTGTACAATTGCTGCCACCATCAGTTTCAAAACATTTTCTTCTTGAACTCTTTGAATCAGCTCCCCTTTATCCCCTCCCTCCCCCACCCCACCCCCACGATACCTTAATATTATGTTTTATATATATATATATATTTGCTATATCTTACTCCATCCTGTGTATCCATTCACCAACAATTCTATTATTTATTTCCCTCAAGTGGGCTTATATAATCATCATTGCTATCAATTCCCCCTCCCTACCCCTCCCTTACCCTCCCCTCCCCTTCAGGGAATCATTATTCCCGTTACTATTTTTGAAGGGTTTATCTATCTTGGATTCCGTGGATCGAAGGATCTTAATTATACAAATGAACATACGCAGGTTTAACAAGATTAATGAGGTAAAACTAAGACCATAATACTAAGGGGAGAAAGTATTAAAGAACTAGAGGATAGTTATGTGTTTCATCAGTGCTATACCACACCCTGGATATCATCCCTTCCATGTGGCCCTTCTGTGAGGGACTGTCCAATTATCCTACAGGTTTGGGGTTCCATAGTGTTTCTTGCGCTATTTTTAGCAATTGCTGAATTGAAAAAGGGGGGGGGGAAACACTTAGAAGCAACGTTATTGAAACCATTTTAAATTATGTTTACATGTCTGAAATAAGTCAGTTTTACGTTTTGTGTTAATGTATTTCTTTAAAAATAACCAGGCCACGGTTCTCTTTTACTTTCTCATTCCTTTTTCTTCTTCACCAATTTTATTCATGTAAATTATCTTCCTTATAGAAAATATGGAAAATGCAAAGTGTTATAAAGAAGCATAATAAGACTAGTCATAATCTTCAGTATCAAGAAACAACCATTGTTACTAGTTGGCTTATTTTCTTCAACTTCTCGATTGCTTTTCCTGCTCTTTTTTTATAGTATCCAGGAATTTGTATACAGCTTAACTTTAGAGAGAAAAAAAATTATTATCTTAGAAAAGGCTCTAAATTATCACAGTCCATTTATTATTGATATCTAACACATGAGAATTGACAAGCCAAATAAAGATTTCCATCAGAGCAGAGGAACAAAAGGAAAAATAGATGACTCTGTTCAGATTCTTTGTATTGTATATTCTATTTGTGCCAATTTATCATTCTTACATTCCAATAATATATGCAGTAGTCATCAATAAGATTTACTAGTGGGCTTTCAGTGACCTCTTTCCTACTCTTCATCCACTAGATAACTGAAACTCTGTCCTTTTACCAGAACTAGGCTTTGAATGAAAAACCTAGGTCCCTTACCCAAACTTATTGTCACCTCCATCTTGATTAATACAGTAGCAGGTTGACTGGGTTTTAGACCTTCTTATCCTGCCTGTAAAACAAATTCATATCTTGAATAGGTAGGTCCCAGCGTGCTCACTAGGCTGTAATCTCTGCTTGCTTCCATGAAAGTACTAAAAGACTTTAAAACCCTCTAGCCGCCTAATTCCTTACAACTAAACTGGTTACTTTTGAATTAGACCTAGACCAAATTCCCAGCTTATTTTGCCAGAATGAGGCCTTCTTTCTTGATCCATCTAGAAAAGGGTTTCGGTTGAGAATTTCATTATGATTAGACCAAATGTTTTAAAGCCAGGGACCAACAAAAAGGCCAGACAGCACTGTGGACCCTGTTGGCTGTATGATCTGTCATACCCTCACCTCTGCCACCGTAGTGGAGAGGCCGCCTAGATGTAGGCTGCATGCAAATGAGTGAGCACAGCTGTTCCAGCAGAACTATTTGTGAAAAGCGGCAGTGGGCCCTAGTTTGCTGACCCCCTTGTACACCCTTAATCTTGAAAGAATTATATGATAATACAGTTGTCCATTGAGAAAAGAAGGAAACTATATACTATTTACATCACACCCAACAGGAATATATATAGTGGGGCTTAATGCAAAAAATGAAAGTTGTGAAAATATTCTAAACCATAAAATCGTAAAATAATTGCTAGCATCTTTGACTACTTACAAAACACCATAAATATAAAAAACAAATTGACAAATGAGAAAAATTAATCACAATCCAAATGACTAGGAGTTAGTGTGGTTTTTACACACAATCAAGAATAATAACACAGAGTATTATTCTCAGGAATATGAAATCTCAGGAACATATAATGGCCAGTAAACAGGAAGAGATGCTCACTATAAATAACTAATGATACTCATAATAGTGTAGGCGGGGGTGTAAAGAAATAAACAAGTGGACATAGTCTCAATGGCTCAATTAGTGAAGTTCTGGTATAAATTGGAGATATGGCAAATTATCTTATCCACAATAGAGCAATTATCACAATAAAGTGAGTTACATGTTTTTTCCCCTCAGTGCATATAGAAGTTATGTTTACACTAAAGTATAGTATACTAACTGTGGAGTAGCATTATGAAAGTTTGAAGTATTGTGGAAGTCACCAAAATGCGCCACAGAAACAAAATGAGCACATGTTGGAAAATGTCCAATAGACTTGATTTTGTAGCAAGCGAAATATCTCTGATGTATACTAAAGATGGGGCTTTCTATGCCCATAAAGAGTGACAGTCTCAGAAACCCACAGGGGCAGTTCTATCCTGACCTATAGGGTCTCTATGAGTCGGCATCTCCTCTGTGGCATTGTGTTTGGTGTATAATATAAAGCAAAGTACAGTAAAACAAGGTAGGCCTATATGAGTATGGTCATATAGCAAATTATCTCACAATTTAATAACTTAAAATGCCATTTATTCTTACAGTTTATGTGAGTCAGGAATCCAGAAGTGCCTTATTCTGGTAATTCTGGATCCAGTCTCTTCATGGGGTTGTAGTCAAACTGTCAACCAAGATGACCCTTAGTGGGGCTGGATTGTCCAAGTCCTGGCTCACTCACATGAGTGTTGGCAGACAGAATCAGTTCCTCAGCACCTGGGCCTAGCATGCGACCCGAAAGAAAGAAAGAAAGAAAGAAAGGAAGGAAGGAAGCAAGCAACCCAAATAGATCTCCACAGTTTCATTTAAAACCTAATCCTAGAAGTGACACGCCATCTCTTCTGCCATAAGCCGTTGGTCACACAGACTAATCCTGGTACAGTATGGAAAAACAAAACCACCCAGGGTGGGACTACTAGGATGTAACGTAGAGCAGCGGTTCTCAACCTGTGGGTCGCAAACCCTTTGGGGGTTGAGTGACCCTTTCACAGGGGTCACCTAAGACCATTGGAAAACACATAAATATTTCACAATATATAATTACATATTGTTTTGTGATTAAACACTATGCTTTAATTATGTTTAATTATGTTCACTTTGTAACAATGAAAGTACATCCAGTATATCAGATATTTACATTATGATTCATAACAGCAAAATTACAGTTATGAAGTAGCAACGAAAATAATTTTATGGTTGGGGGTCACCACAACATGAGGAACTGTACTAAAGGGTTGCGGCGTTAGGAAGGTTGAGAACCACTGGTCTGCGGGTTTGTTCTTTGCTGGCTTGGTTCTACAATTCTCCACATGTATCTGTGAGGCTGGCAGGCATTTTCACTCTAGCAAATGTCTGGCTCCAGAGCAGTTGGGTGCTGGCAGAGCATCTTTTATTTCATTGGGCCTCTGTACAACATTATAGTCTTAGGTTTGTCAGAATTATCTTGAGCTTTCTCCAGAGATTGTGTTCAATTTCTAGAAAAGATTCAAAACATTTTACTAGCTAGCCTCAAAAGTTACACAACGCCACTTTTCCCACTAACCAAAAACATGTCACAGGACCAGCCCCGATTTTACAAGACAGTATGACTTCCTGTGAGCGGCCATCTTTAGCACTTATTGCAGGAAGTTAAGATCACGAGAATTGATATCGACTTGTTCTAAAGTAGTAGCAGTGCAAATAGTAAAAATTGATCTGATTCTAGATTTACAACTAGTCCTTGAGTTTGAATGAGATCAGTTCCATACTGTGTCTTTAAGGATTTGTAGGCAAGTTAGAACATGTACATATGGTTCTAACTTAGCCTTATTACTCTAATGTGAGAAATGGGTTGATGCCTTTTTAATTGTTTAAAAGCTGAATGAGCACCACCCAAAGGTGCTTGTGATTTTAAAAAAAAGTGAATTGATGTTCACCCAGTTATTTCAAAGTGGGGGGGTTAAATTTACATAACAAGAGGCACTTAGTCACTGTCCTTAAAATCCTATGGCTGTAATATAGGGACTGCTAGTATTGAAAATAAAACTGACAGGATTTGCTTGAGAATTGTACATCTAGTATTGGGAAAAACAGAAGTCTAAGATGAATCACATTTGGGGCTGAACAGTTTGAAGAATAAGGATGCCGTTTACCTTGATGGGATAAACTGGCCAAACAGGTGGTTTTGATGAGAAAATTATCTTTGATGTTGCATTTGATTCTTTTTTAAAGACCATACAACTATTTGAGTTATTTTAAGTTATTCTCCTACCTCCACATAGTCTTTAAGAGATTCATTTGTACAGCAACACAAAGTCCTCTCAGTAATAAAGAAAGGTTCTGAACATATGAGGCTTATTGTTCAAAATGATTAAAACTGTCAAAAATAAATTTCAAGAGAAGCTTTTTCAAAGGAAGGTACATTCATTAAGTTGTCAACAGGCCAAAGACCATACTCCCCTGTTTATATAAGGTGATAGATTTTGTGTTTTCAAAGATTCAAAAAGTAAATATAAAAGATAACTGACAAAGTTGAAATAAAATGACATCTTTTAAATATGTTATAAATGAAAGATTTTTTTAAGGAAGAATCTTTGAAATAACTTTGGTGTTTATTTTAGCCAAATAATTTTTACAAATATAAATATCAAATGTCCTAAGCCTGCAAGTTTCGATGGAAGGACAGAAGCTTATTGGTTTTAAGAAATTATGGACTATTTGCTAAAAATCTCCTTTTTGTTTCAGGGGCGACACTAAGTATGAGACCTGCTCCTATTCCAATAGAGGACCCAGAGTGGAGACAAACACCTCCCCCAGTCTCGGCCACATCTGGAACCTTCCGACTAAGACGGGGTAGTCGATTTACCTGGCGAAAGGAATGCCTGGCTGTCATGGAAAGGTACATTTTTTTTCTTTTTCTATAAGAAATTTCTCAAATAAATAAATAGAAATAAGCTTCTCAAACATAGGAAAGAGATAAACTTTGAATTGTTTTAGATAGGCTTAATTTTTAATAATTTGGGTGTAGGTTTCATCTCTAAAGCATTTTAGACTATTATTAGCACTATATAAGAGGGCTTCAAAGAGGGTAAAAATTTTTGTTGGGGGTATAAAATGGTAATCATATTTCACTTATAAATTGCAGCTATTTATGTGTTCATAGCATTGGTGATAGACAAATCTAATTACAGCATGCCCACAGAGACGTGAATGTACATGGCGCTCATAGTCACTGCCATTGGGTCGATTCTGACTCAGAAACACATACAAGGGAATTATTTTTTTTTAAGTTATGTATTTAAATTTTTGTTACAAAGTAATTTTAACACCTTAAAAGTACTCTCCATTACACTAAATACATTTGTCAAATCTGCTATTCCATTCTTGGAAACATTTTTCAAACTCATTGTTAAAATGGCTAACTACTGTACCTCTCATTTTTTTCTTCACCTCTCTGATGTTCTCAAATCACTGTTCTTTCATGTCCTTCATTTGCGGAAACAAACAAAGTTGCATGGAGTAAGGTGCGTGGGACAAGAGAGTCAGGCTGTTTTTTGCCAAAAACTGGCGCACTGAGATGGCTGCGTGAGCAGGTGCATTGTTGTGGGGGCAAAACCAGTCCCCCATCTGTCACAAATCAGGCCTTTTTTATCACGCACTGTTACATAGTCTTTTGGGAACCTCTAAATAGAAAGCTTGATTAACAGTCTGACCTGGTGGAATGAACTCCAAATGCACCACAAGTCGACATTTTTGTGCATTCAGGAAGTTGATGGACATCCAGACCAAGGTTTGTCATCAGTCGACATTTCACCTTTTTCGAAATGTGGAAAACACTTGCTTTTTTCCCATAGTGCTATCCTTGTAAGGTATGTTCAACATCATAACTGTTTCTGTGTCATTTTACCTATGCAGGAAACAAAATTTCACAGCTGTGCACTGTTCTCATAAATTAACTATCACAAAAAAATGAGGTTCTAGTGAAACTGCTTTTACAAAAACATTCACTGTGACCAGAGAGAACCTTCTTAGGTGACGCCACTGGGTGCACTAACTCTGAGCGTGTTGCTTGATGCTCCTCTAGTGCAAAAAATACTACAAAAGCTCCGCTTTGTCCAGCACAATTCCGGTTTTTTTGGAGGGTACCCCCTTATATTTATATATGTGTATTACATGTATAATATGTATAGTGGGAACATATTTCACTTGAAAGTTTACATGACATTGGTAGGAAGATAACTGTAACAGAAAAGTCAAGTCTGTTGTGCTTTATGTACTATCACATACACAGTGCAGCCATGATTACAATACAGTATTACAGTATGTAAAAATATTGGGGATAAAGTAAACGTCTGTATAGCAAACCTTCTATTGCTATTGATGTACATTTTACTTTAGAAGATACAATTCAATGATTCATCGAAGAGTCATGCTCGTGCTGATTTACAGAAGGAACAACCTGAGACCAAAGATTATACCTAAGCACCTACTGTATACCAAGCACTGCCTGAATGTTGGGGCTTCAGCAGTAAAGAAAATGATGAGATTCCTGCTGACAGGGTTTGAGAAGCAATGAGGAGAATTCTCAAAGAGCTAAGTGGAGTAACTGGAACAGACACATCAATTTGATTTACACCATCATTCTGCCATGTACTTGCTATGAGATATTGGATAGTGTAGTTACCCTTTTGCAGTCTGCTGTTTTTGAATTGTTGTTGCTCTTAGTTGCTGTCCAGTTGATTCTGACTTCTGCCAACCTTACATGTGCACAAAAGAACTGCTCCGTAGTGTTTTCAAAGCAGTGACATATATGTGGAAGTCAATTGCCATGCCGGAAATGCCTGTAGGTTTTGAACTACCAACCTTTCAGTTAGTAGACAGGAGCTTTACCACGTATGCTACTCAGCGACTCATGAAATTACTAGAGATTATATAATTTCCTGAAACACACACAAAATGCAATTGAGGCATCATTTCCACTGCTTTTTTGATTTCCATTGCTTCTGTGCCCTATTTCATACAAAGTACACATAGACTCTCAATATAGTGTAAAATGTAATTTAGCAACATCAGACTCACCCATGTCACTCTCATTCAGTAAATGAACAGATATTGTATGTGTATGTGTGTTCTTTTAAATGTTTTAATTAAATACTGAGAATATACAAAATTATCTATAGAACACATCTAAGATAAAAGAATAGTGGGATAAAACCCACCCAGTATGAGGAACGAGCATTACATTACTTCCCAACCACCTGAGGTGTTTCTCCAGCCCAATTGGTTTTCTTCCCCTTTCATGGAGCCATTGCTTGTTTGCTGTGTTTGCCATTTCTTTGAATCTCTTAATGATTTCTTTCCTAAATCACTCATCTCAACTCTTCTTTATGTTCCCTATTTCTATCCCTCCTTCTTTCCTTATCCTTATGATCTTTGTTCTTGTGTAAATCCTGTTCTCTTGATCCCAAATAGTTCATTATTCTGAGGTGTCCACACATCTGTAATGTTGTTATTCTTCTAATAGACCTGTGTATTCTTTGGTTGAAAATAGAGCCACAGAGGAAAGTTCAGTTCCAGACCCAAAGAATGACCAAGGCCCATCGTCCAGGGTCCCACCAGTCTCTGTATTGGTCTCCTTCATTTTGAGTTTTGTTGCATATCTTTCTCCTCCATCTAAGATCTTCTAATGCAGTCCTAAAACAGTTGGTAGCAGTGACCAGCTATCATCTAGTTCTTCTGGTCTCAGTTGTATAGGCTGATGTTTGTGTCATCCATTAACCTAGTGGATTAAATGTTTCTATTTATCTCAGATTTTCATCACTCTTGTTTCCACTAGAGATGGAGAGATGGCCTTGGATGGCCCCTCTTGAGCTTGGCAGACCCCAATCACTACTCAACAAAATAGAATGCAGACTTTTGGATAATGTTAAGCCAGTTGACCTTGGTGTGTTCTGACACTATAGTCCTGAGCCCAAGTTATATGCAGGAGGTTTTCATAAATATGACTCTCATATACTCTACCACATCTCTCTATATATTGCAGCAGAGTAAATATCCATGTACAGATATCCTCTTCCAATCATATATATGTGAGTATACTCCCACTCTCCCTACCACACCTACTGAGCTCACACTATGAAGACAGGACTGATAGACCACAATGGCAGCTCTAATAATTTTAGCTTTTTGATGTTCTTTCTTTTCCTCCTCCAAATCCCAGTTGCTGTACACTAAAGTTGCTGCTGCTAGGAGCTCATTTAGGTCAGTCTGGAGTACGTAAGGGACCTAAAAAAGCAGTTTGAATGAAACTCGTAGGTAGTAAGAACTGGCACAGGAACAGGTTGTCCTTAGTGGAACCTTTGCTTAAAGACTTTACCGGCTTGTTCCCAGAGTTCAGTATTTACTGGTCCTTCATCTGGGAACCAAGGACAATGCTGCTCAACAACCAGGAGCAGCGGATAGTGTTTTCTCATCCACTGTACAGTAGGCAGCTTTAAGGACTGCTGGAGGGTCTTCAGTCAACCTTTTAAGGCTTTGTTAATTCCTGACCCATGCTAGAAATCCCTTTGTGAACTTATGAGTGCCAGTCCCCTTTTCAAAGAGCTAGTGGGGACTGTTCCTTACTGGAAGGAACAGGCATTGTTTTCATTTTCATCTGGGCCGTTGAATTCCATGCTATCGTGTCAGGGGGGCACCATTGGTAGCACTCCAGCTAGTTGGGAAGTGGCTGAGATGCACTGAACAATTACTCAGACACTCAGACCTCTAGATTGAGTCATGAGGGAAAGGAGAAGGGAACCTCCAGAGAGTTTCTCTGCTCACCTGTTTTTATTAGCACACCAAAGGAGAACATTTACAAATGTTCACATGCAGAGACAATATTAGGGCACAATACTTCAAACTCAAGATGCACTCATGATTCGTAATTAACAAACATGCTCTAACATACATTCTCATATAACTAACCAACATTCTTGTATGCTTGCACATTTTGGCCTGATGGAGTTCTTTTTGTTTCCAGCATGGAATCTCCTTATTACTCAGTGTTTGCACCAAGTTCCTGGAACATACAGTTATACACTCAAGGTTTACTCGTGGTCTTTGCACCCAAGCTGTCTTCTCAGGGGAGCGGGACAATGCTTCCCTAAACTTACACTCAGAGACCACACTTTTGCAGGATTGTGTATATAAATGTATTTGCCTCTGTTGCCGTTAATTCTGGCACTCCTCCCAGGGCCCTCCTTTGCCTCCATCTCTTTGCCAACCTCCCTACTGTTGCATGCTGCCCTCCCTCTCATCCAACTTCTTGAAATCTGTTTGACTACCTCTCCATTTGAAAGTTCTGTAACTCCTCTATTCCCTCTATTTACTCTGTAATTGTCTTCATTGATAATTAAAATGTATGGTTCCCTATTTTCAGTCTTGGAGGTATGTTTTACCCTGGAAACTTGTGTCTGGGTTGACTTTTGGGTAGTGTTGCCATATAAAATTCACATTGCTGTCTATTAGTGGTGTTCTGTGTGAGCACTTCTCTTAGTATTTCTTGTGAGATTTGTCTGGTTTTTACAAAATTTCTTTAATTTTAGTTTTCTGAAAATGTCCAAAACTCTGTCATATGTGTGGGACAGTATTGCTGGGTATATAGTTCTTTTCCCCCGCCCCCAACTTCACCGGGTATATAGTTCTTGATTGGCAATTTTTTTCTTTCATGTTTGTGTGGTTTCTTCTGAGAAATCAGAGCTTAATATTACTGGTTCTTCTTTGTGAGTAACTTCTGTGTTTTCCTTGAGCTGCTCTCAGGATTCTTGCCTTGCATTTGTTTCAGAAGGTGTGATTGTGTCTTGGTGAATTTCTTTTGGGACCTGTCCTGTTGGGAGTTCGTTCATCTTGGATGCATGC